TTTCCCTCCCTCTAACTGCATGAAATGTGGACTGTGTACTCGGGATGGGCATGGTAGGGACCGAGACTGCTGACTGGAATTATTCTAGAACCAAAATAAAGCTGGGGCAGGAAGGAGGGAGCTTCTGGGGAGCCTTGCTCAGCCCCAAATCACCTTCGTCTCTTCTGCAGGAATCACGGACTTGGGTCTCTGTGTGGGTTGCTCTGAGTGGATTGCCCTGCTTCTGGGTACCCAGAGGAAAAGGAAGCCGCTGTCTGGCTGGGGAAACCATCACATGGACCAATGCCATCAGACAGCTTGGGAAGCTCTAAGAAGGGGCCCTGAGCCAGGCCTGGTGGAGAGGATGGCAGTAGGAGATACCATGGAGGGCTCCCTGATGGTGTCGCTGAGCTGGCTTCAGGGCAAAAAGAACCATAAGATTGAAAAAGATGGATAAGGCCAAAAATAGCATTCTTGGAAGAGGAAACAATACACAAAAGGGCAGGAGTGGTCATAAAGTTAGCCAATTTGTCAACTTCTCTAGAGCGAATTTGGGGGAGGCTGAGAAGAAGGGAGCCAAAAGAAAGGCCAAGAGGGGAGAAGGGTCATACAAGTTCAGTGAGTGCTTGATGCCAGCCTGCAACCCTGAACCCCTACTACCTACCGTTGTCATCCCCCTATTTGGCAGATATGAAAACTGAAGCTCAGAGAGGTTAGATAACTCACCGAAGATCACACAGCCAGAAAGCCTCAGACCTGGGATTCAAGCTCCAGCTGTGTGGCTCCAAAGGCCATGCTCTTAACCATAAGGCTACACTGCCCCCTTCCCCAACTCCTCCAGGTGGGCTGAGGGGCAGCCTAGAAGCCCCTCTGGATCCCAGGCTGCTCTAGTTTCTCCCTCCCCTGCCCTGGAAGATCACAGTAAGTGTAGGAGGATGATCTAGTGGGAATTACCAGCAGCCCCTAGGAGGCCTGCCTACCACAGGGCCTGACTGTGAAGACTCCCCCATGTACCCCACCAATACTGGACAGACAGAGGGAACCAGTAAGATAGGAATCACAAAAAAGTGAACACCAGGGAAGGGCTTCTGGAGGAGGTGGAAGCCTGAGCACTAGCCTTGCAGTGCAGAGAGGACTGTACACAAAGAGGAGGGAGATGGGCTCCCAGGCAGGGGGACAACTTGGTGTCATATGTGTCTGGGGAATGTGTGCATCTTCAGCTGAGGCTGGAGAGGCCACGTGGGGCTGAGCTGGGGAGGCTTCATGTCCAAGATGAAGCCAAATGTCCTGGTCCTGCTGGTGGTAAGGAGCCATGGAGGGGTCCTGGGCCTGGTCAAAGGAGCAGGTCAGAGGGAGGGAGGAAGGGGACCTTCTGAGCAGCTTTAGAAGTGATGAGGAGGGACACCAGCCAGCGCTGCTCTTGGTTAGTGAGGAGCAGTGTAAGTTGCCCTTAGGTTTCAGGTTCATTGAGCATAGTCCAAATGGCCCTACTGCCATCTCTTTCTGCCTAGTCCCCTTCCCCCAATGTCCCCTCCCAGCCCAAGGCCCATGGGCCTGCCTCGAGGGTTCCAGGCCCCCTTCATCAGGGAGGCTTCAGGGATAGGCTGAGCCACACCCCAGAGGACAGATATGGGGGCCATATCTGACCACACTGGGCCACACCTGCGTGTATGGGGCAAGGTGAGCCACTGTAGCGCCCACAGCCCACTGCCGCTCAGACCTTCACTTCCTCTCCTGCCTCAGCCCTAGCCCTCAAGAGGATGGCGCAGGGAGCAGAGCAGCCACATGGCAGCAGCAGAGACTCTGCTGGGGCCACAGGGGACTCCTGGCCTCCGGGAGGATGGGGTCTGAGGGTCAAAAATGCAGCAAGGGGACCAAGGCCAGGAGACGATGGAGCCAATGGAGGCTAGAGGATGGTCACCTGCCTGCTGCCCCTACCATCACATCGTGTGCTGTATTTTCACCAATGCGGTCTTTTGTTCCTTTTTTGTGTCTCCAGCTTGTTTATTCTCTTGAATCTTCCTTCCTCTCTCCTCTTTGTCCAACCAGGCAGTCTATTGGACATAACACCCTGAGCCACAGCTGGATGCCAGCCTGGGGTAGGCACTTCTATCTGGGGGCGTAGAGGTTGGCCTTGCTCCCTGTCCTTTAAGTGCTCTAGGCTTGGCTGGGGGCTAGGAGATCCTCCCTGGCCACCTGCATCCTGAGTTGAGGATTCCACATCAGGCCAGGGGCTGGCCTGGCCACTTCTGATGTTCTGGGGTCTGCAAAGCAGTTGCCCACTGTGCGGGGTGGCAAGAGAACTCTGGGCTTTGCACCAGTGGGGCCTCAAGGGACAGAGTCACCCACAAGCCTTCAGGGATAGACCCCCACGGGAAACAGTAAAACAGTAAATGGCACCTGGGCCAGGAAGACTGTGACCTGGGTCACCTCCAAAATAAACCCCAGAAAAACTGCTGTCCAGGGCCTGCCTATGTCTGACATTCAGGAAAATCCTCTGCCAACCAGAGGAGACTCCCCTCACCCGATGTCTGCTAGGATTTAATACCAGGAGATCTGGGGCCAAATCCCGACTCTAAGTCTAACTAGTCTGAGACAAGCCACTGCCTTTCTCTGAGCCTCAGTTCCCAAACCTGTAGAATGAAGCAGATCACTTGCTCTGCCTGTGTCACAGGCAGTCTGTCAGTCTGACGGCTGAATGGAATAATGCATATGACGTGTGATATCAGGAGAGAGCCCTGCTGTGTGGCTAGATCTGGGTTCAAATTCAAGTTCTGCCTCTTACAATCTATAGATCTTAGATAAGAACTTAACCTCTCTGCCCCTTATGCTCCTCATCCACCTGCTAGTGGACAGTGCCGGCACAGTTAGCCACCCATTAATGGGCACTGTTATTCTTAGGAAATGTTCAGTGAAACTGTAAGGCATGACATACCTCAAGGATGTCATTATAATGATTATCCCTATAGCAACCAAGGCCAAACGCCTCTGCCTGACTTTCAGCTCCCTCCACCTCCGGTCTGGCCCCACCTGCCTCCTAGCCTTGTCACCCAAAGCCTGATGACAGCAGCAGTGGGGAGAAGAGAGGATGACAAGGCTGACAGCTGATTGTTGGGGGACAGGGCCCCTCCCCACCACTCCTTGGGGCGGGGAGCCCTACTCCGTGGCTATACACCCAATTCAGTGCCAAGTCATTGCTCAGCCCTTTGGCAGTTTCGGGGAGGAAAGAGCACCTAAAGGGTGGGGATGTCATGAGATATTCCCTCGAGGCATCCAGATGAGGCTCCATTCCTTTTGCCAACTGTGGCCCCAGCTGTGCTTAGAATAGGAGTCAGGGGTCTAGGCTCTGCCTCTTTGCAATGGGGACAGTGACTCCTGCCCCAGCTGCCTCTTTGGTCCACAGTGAAGTTCAACACGGGTTGAGGTGTTTTTCCACCTGCCCAGCTTTGAACTCCACAAGGGATGATGTCATGACATGGGAGGGTGTGTGAAACCCAAAGACTACCTTCTGTTCCTTGGAGCTTCACTAAAAACGCTCAGTCAAGGATCTGGGAAGAGCCTTGTGCCCATTTTCGAAAGATTTCAATTCAGTTCAGTTCTGTATTTATTCCCAGCACCAAAGTGCTCCACAATCCAGGCCCTGTTTGAACCTCAGCCTCTCCTAGCACCAGCTTCCCGACCTGCCCTCCCTCACTTTCCATCACAGAGAAGGACCACAGCACCCCAGCAAAGTACCCCCCCCTTGCCTCCATACTTTGCATGTGCTGCTCCCTCACTTTGGAGCATCTTGCTCCCTCCTCCATTTGACTGTTTCACTTTTTCTTCAAGGCTCTGGTCCTCTCTTCAGAAGGGTTTCCTGACCCCTACCCCTCACCCCAGGTAAGGAGCCCTTCTTCCCTACTCCTGTCCCACTCCCTGTCCCCACCTCTGTTGTAGCTCTTACCACACCAATGTCCTGCCTGTCCCCCATTCTTGGTGTGGGCTTCTCAAGATAGGGACCTCGTCTGGAATGGTTCAGGGTCCCCAGGCCCTCAGGCATTGGTGTTGGTTAAATAGTAAGGATCACTAACAGTGTCACCAACAGTGCACCAGACCCTGCTCTGAGCACATTTTTTTAGCACATTTTTTAAAAAAGATTTTATCCATTTATTCATGAGAGACACAGAGAGAGGGGCAGAGACATAGGCAGAGGGAAAAGCAGGCTCCCTGTGGGGAGCCTGCTGTGGGACTCCATCCCAGGACCCCAGGATCCCAGGATCATGCTCAGAGCCAAAGGCAGACACTGAACCACTGAACCACCCAGATGCCCCTGCTCTGAGCACTTTATAGGTGGAAGGTTCCCTCATATTCCTTAGATTATGCCCCAGCCAAAGGTGAGACTGGTGGTCACCCACCCACCTGCGTTGAAACTTCCTGGTGCTGGCTGGGGCAGGGCAGGCCAGGCTGGCAGGGCCAGCAACTGACCCATAAGGGCATGCCCGGGTCACCCCGTTCCCACCTGGCCTGAAACATCTGGAGGTAGGATTGTGGTGTTTTTTTTTTGGGGGGGGGTGCACATTCATTCCTTCACGCATTCATTCATTCATCCAAAGTCACTGGCTTTTTTAGGGCCCACCTGTGCTGGGCACCAGGAACCCAGTTCTTATCCCTACAGAGCTGGTAGGCGCCCCTGGCCGACCCCCACCTCCTCCTTCTTCCCAGAGGAAGTGGCCCAGGTCCTCCCCTTTCCCTGTCCACCCTCCCCCTACACACTGTCACACTGTCATCATCCGGCTCCTGGTCATCTCCCCATCGGACCCGGTGCCCTCCCGAGGACTCAGGCCGAGTGTGGGACCCCCTCGCGTGCCCCCGGCGCCCGCACTCGGTAGGGGCCCGAGACGGGTCCCCCGAGCGGCCGAGCGGGACGCGGACGGACTGGCCAGCCGGGCCGCTCGCCCGGCCCCCGGCTCGCACCTGGCCCCGCGACCCCGCCCCCCGCCGCGCCGCGCGCACTTCCTCCCGCCGCCCCGCCCCTTCCACATTCCTGCCCCGCCGCCCGCGCGCGATGAAGGCGGCCCAGGCCGGGGGCGCCGAGGCGCCGTCGGGCGCGCGGTCCGTCAAGGTGGTCCTGGTGGGCGACGGCGGCTGCGGGAAGACGTCGCTGCTGATGGTCTTCGCCCAGGGGGCCTTCCCCGAGGTGAGTGCCAGCCCCCTCCGGTCCGGCGCTCCCGACCCTGCCTCGCAGCTCCGGACGCGCGGCCGGGGCGCCCAGCCGGCCTCCCGAGGGGTCTCCCAGCGCAGCGTGGATCCAGAGGCGGGTCTTGCTCCGTAGTCGGGAGCGAGATTTGTAAAGTGACGGGAATGGCACCTACCTGGAATCGTTGTCACGGGGACTGACTTAGTGACCTGGGGACCCCGCAGATCCTGAGAGCACTTCGTGGTACAGCATGGCCAGGCGGGACTGAGGACACTGGAGCCAGACTTGCCCGGGCTCACATCGTGGCTTTGCCACTGAAAGCTGTGTGCCTTGGACAAATCCCCTACCCTCTCTGTGCCTCCTTTTTCTTTGCTTTTCTTTTTTAAGATTTTATTTGTTCATGAGAAACACAAGCAGAGGAGAAGCCGGCTCCATGCAAGGAGCCCAATGCAGAACTCAGTCTCAAACCCTGGGATCGTCCCTGAGCGGAAGGCAGTGCTCACCACTGAGCCACTCAGGTGTCCCTCCGTGCCTGTTTTCTCAACCACATAATAGGAATAAGGATGGTGCCCACCTTCCAGAGTCATTGTGAAGAGTTAATACAGGTCAAGGGCTCAGCTCTGAGCTTACAGCAGGAAGGACTCACTGAAGTTTCGCAAATGTCTTTTCACCAGCTGTTGTGCATACAGCGGTCATGTGGTGGGCTCTGTCTTGGAGGGTCAGAGCACACCAGAGTCAAGTCAGATAGCTTGGTTGGCAGCTCAGCTCTCCTCTAACAAACTGTGTCCCTCCGTACCTTGCCTAACCTCTCTGAGCCTCCCATTTCCTCACACAACGTCAGAGGGCGGGAGACCTGAGAGTGGTAGTGAGGTGGAATTAGGTAAGGCTAAGAGACAGCATGTGTTTACCTGGCATGTCCTGGACGCCCTGGGCACATTACCTGTCAGTCCTTGGCTGGTGTGCTCAAACTGCCCAGGCAGGCTCACAGGCACCACGATAGGGGCTGGGCCCCTTACCCTGCCACCTCTCAGCCTAGTTTTGGGAGTCTGCGGGTTTGCTTCCAGGGTCTCTTCTCCTTCATGCCTGTCACATCATCCTCCAAACCCCTGAGTTTGTGCAGACCCTGGGGAGTCCGATGGGGGAGGCAGGAGAGACCAGGCCTGGTAACAGTGTGAGACCTCCCTCTCCACTGTGGCAGCATCCAGCCAACTCTTGCTTTGTGGTTTGTGAAGCTGACATCACCTCCTCTGGCCAGTCACATTTTTTCTTAAGTTGGATAGGCCAAGTTTCTGGGCCCTCAGATGCTGCACATGGGAACCCGACAATTATGGCATGGTGGGAAGAGTGCCACAGAGGGACCAGGCCAGCCAGGGTCCAGGAGACCAGCTGGGAGAGGTGTCCTGGGATGGCAAGGCTCATCCTGATTCCAGAGAGGCTGGAACATGGAAACGGGCATCTGGAAGTTGATGGAATGTGTGTTTTGAAGGACAAGCTGGGGCTGGCCAGGGGAAGGGAGGGCATGCTTATTACCGGGAGATGGACTTGACTTTGTCTGGGCTCTTAATCTTTTTGGGGACCCCTCTACCTCCAGGTACAAGAAAGAGCTCTTCTTTTAAAAGAATCACAAAGTCCAGGCTCCAGAAAAGCCTCATTTTACAGGAGGGAAAACTGAAGCTTGAGAAACAGCCTTGCCCTGGGGTGCAGGGACCAGGAGTGGCAGTGTAGGTCAAGAGCCCAGATCTCCCCACCCTTGACCAGGACACTCTCTATGATCCCTAGTACTCTACCTGCCAGACCAACCTTCTGCTCCTACTCCTACACTCCTCCTCCTGGCAGGCCTCCAAGCTCAGGGAACCAGCAGCTAGAATACAGAGTCCCCCCAAAGAGCTGGGATTGAAGGGATCTGAGTGACCCTTATCTGGCTGTGGCCCAGCCTCAGTTCAGAGCAGGGGAGCAGAGTAGAGAGAGCTCCTAAGGTAGAGGGAAGTCCAGGCGGGACACCAGCCTCTGCTTGGTCCTTGCTGACATTTGGGTCCGCAACCATTCCAAAGTCCAGGGGTCCCACAGAAGGGTGGGAACAGGAGCAGGCAGGGAATACCAGCCCTACCTTCCAGAACCAGCTCAGTTCCTCCTGGTCACATAGGAACTCAGGGTGTGAAACCCCTGACTCTCCTTTATTGAACTATGTTCTCCTATCCTGTAATGATCTGTCTGTGAGCCCCATGAGGCCAGACACAAGCCTGAGTCACCTCTGCCTTGGTCTAGGTCAGACCTGCCCTGCCTTTCTGGCTAAGGATAGCTCAACAGATAAGATTAGGCACTTACTGGTCAGAGTGACCCTGCCTAGTGGTTCAAAGAACACAACAGAATGTATAGACAAAGTCTATGGCAGGGAGGGTTGTGAGCAGGGAGTCATAGGAGCAACCCACCCCCGTAGTCTGGAATAGGGCTTTCCTGCCCACTCCTGATACCAGTGGCTAAGAGAGTTGGTGACCTCAGGAGAGCAAATGGCTTGGAACAGAGCCTGGCCTCTTGAGCCAGGAAGACTGGCCTCCATTCTTAGCCAGCTGTCCAGTGTGTCACCCTGGGAAAGTCATTTCCCTGCTCCGTCCTCATCCCTAACCCTAACCCTAACCCTAACCCTAACCCTCTCCATCAGGAGAATGGAGATAGTGCTAACTTCCCAAGGTTACAGGGATCAGACACAGTACAGGTAGAGGGCTATGCACAGTAGATCCCTAGAAAATGTGGATGACAGTGTCATCTCCACAGATGTTTGCAAAATACTGACACATGTCTCCCAAAAGCTTCGTGGCAAGCTGCCCTCCACCTCAGATCAGGAGGGGTCCTGCCAAAGGGGAGTGGGTAAGTGGAAGCTCAGCAGGTGTCAGTCCCTTCCACGGTGACAGGCTAGGGCAGGGCACGCCACCTGTAGGGATGGATGGCAGTTGGCATGTACACTGCCCCTGGTGACCAGCTTTCTAAGCAGTGAGCATCTGTGCTGAGCCTCACCTGCCAGCCAGTCTCTCCTATCACACTGTAAAGGGCCACTCTTCTCCTTTAACCAGTGAGGGGACAGGCCCAAGGTTACACAGCTGGTGAGGGCCAGAGCCAGTTCTAAGCCAGGAACATCTGATCCCAAAGCCAGTATTCTAGCCACCATGTCTCCCGCCAGGCAAAGGACCTGAGAGGAGAGGCCTGGGCAGGCAGGTGCTGGGGAGGTAGATGGAACCCTCGTCTGTACCTACTAATAGAGAGAGTGACAGCTGGCTAGAGTCCAGGGCGGATTGAGCCCCTATCCCAGGGCCATCCTCGACTTCTCTATCTGCCCACTCCGGGACTCACCTTTTCTCCCACCCTCCCCCTGTACCTTCCACAGTGGCTTGGAGGACCACACTGACACACCAGGAGCCCAGGGGCTGACTGTGAGTGCCAGTGGGCAGGCCGACAGGCAGACAGGCTTGAAATCCTCCTGAGTCAGGGCAGGTGTGGGCCCCATCTGGTATAGGAAATGGGGAGGACAAGGGCTCCCCATGCTGCCACCCCACCGACCAACCCTGAGCAAGTGAGCGAGCCCTGGGGACCAGCTACAGCCTGGTCCCGCATGCCATTCCAGCAAAGGGCTTTTGTTTGTGATAGAGTTTTGAAAACCTTCTCACTTGTTGCTCAGACCCTATGTGTACAAGTTCCCCCTTCTCATTCCTGCATTTTGTCTGCATACAAAACCCATCCTGTTTCCATTCATTCAGCCTTTATGAAGACGGAGTACACTCAGGCTCTAGGCCTGAAGTGGAGGGGCTTGTGGCCTGAGTGACTTCCTCCTGACACCAGAGAGGGAAAATAAGAAAGGCAGAAATGGAGAGGATATGGGAAGAGATCCAGCAAGGCATCCTGGGGAAGGTGGCACGGGGCAGGGGTCTTGGTTGATTATGAGAGGTTGGGAGGCCCAGGGACCCCCAAAAGCTACAAGCTCCCCAGAGCAGATAGCAAGTCTTGTTTATTACTTGCTCTCCAGTATCCAGGACCAGAGAAAGTGCTGTTTACTGAATAAATATATGAATGAATGAATGAATGAATGAATGAATGAATGAATGAACGAACGAACAATCAAACAAACAAATGTAGGTTAATGTCATGCCAGGAGGAGGGGACAGCATGAAGGAAGGCTCAGAAATGGAACAGTCCCCCATCCAGGGGGACAAAGATAAAAATAACAGTAGCCGTCATGTGTAGAGTGCTTATTTTGTGCCAGGCTCTGCGCAGAGCTTCTCACTGAATCCTTACAGCAACACACTGCAGTAGGTACTTTTAATATTCCCACTTTACAGTTGAGAAGGCCAGGGAGATGGAGTGCCATGCTGGGGCAGAGAGCTAGGAGGCAGGAGGCGGCAGCTCTAGGCCTCCCTCAACCCCGCTGGCTACCTACTTCCCAGAAACTCCCTCCACCGTCAGACTCCCAAAGAGGGGCAGTGCTGCAGGTGTCTGAGGGCTCTGGCTTGGGCACTGGGGCCCACCCTGCTTCAGAAGCTGTCCTCACAGCCTGCACCTCGCCCCCTTCTTCCTCAGAGCTACACCCCCACTGTGTTTGAGCGGCTCACCGTGAATCTGCAAATGAAAGGCAAACCCTTGAACCTCCAGATCTGGGACACAGCAGGTGGGTGTGCGGGGCCACAGGAGGGGCTGGGCAGGAGGAGGAGCCCCACGTGCCCAGGAGCCAAGCCCTACTCCCTTCTGAACCATGGTCAACCAATCTCCAAGGGACAGGTGTTGGCCGGGATTAGGGTCCCTGGGAACCTGAAGCTTCTTTGCTTCTGTGCCTGTGTCTGTCTGCTGCCTCCTTCAACCAACAGAGGGTAGCCAGCAATGCCCTGGAGACAAGGGGGGATCCAGAGCTCTCTTCTTTTGAGGGGTGAACTATTCCTGGTCTCCTAGGCATTCTACCCTGGCTTTGGCTTCTTCTTTTTTTTTTTTTTTTAAGATTTTATTTATTTATTCATGAGAGAGAGAGAGAGAGAGAGGCAGAGACACAGGCAGAGGGAGAAGCAGATTCCCTGCAAGGAGCCCAATGTGGGACTCCATCCCGGGGCTCCAGGATCACACCCTGAGCCAGGGGCGGCGCTAAACCGCTGTGCCACCGCCAAACTGCTGCACCACCGCCACCGGGGCTGCCCCTGGCTTTGACTTCTGTAGGATCTACCTGACCTTGACTTGACCTCTGCCCTCCAGCTTCCTGAGCTTACCTACATAGGGTTCAGTCAAATCCACCCCAGAGCTGAAAGCTAACCCCAGGGTATCCTAGCAGCCCCCTTACTGGGTTAAGATGCCTTTGTCCAGGGTCCTACCTGCTTCTAACTCCTCACCACCCAAGCCCAGGGCAAAGCAGGCTTCTGACCAATGGCCCCAGTCCCTGTAGGCTGGGCCTCTGCCTTCCTTGTCCCCTACTCCTTCCAGAACAGGGCTATCTCAGCAAGTAATCTCACCCAGACCAGGGCTAACACATCCCACGGGCAAGCCAGGGGGAAGTGTTCACGTGGAATGGCCACCTAAACACCATGAGGCACACAAACAGGCCCTGACCCAGGCTCAGATGACCTCCCTGATCTTGGGGGAGATCTGAAGGGAGTGATCACCCCCACTCTACCCAGGGCAAGTTGACTATGATCGCCTGCGGCCCCTGTTCTACCCTGATGCCAGTGTCCTGCTCCTCTGCTTCGATGTCACCAGCCCACCCAGCTTTGACAACATCTTTAACCGGGTAGGTACTGGGGGATTGGGGAGGTACAGCCCTTATAGCCAGGCCTGGATGACATCAAGTCCAGCAACTTTCGTGTATATGGGGAAACAGAAGACCAGAGCAGGGGCAGCAATTTGCCAGAGGTTCCATAGGGATTCAGTGGCAGAGTTTGGACTCAGAATGCCATGGCTCTTTCCATCGTGACACCTACCTGAGGATGCTGGGTGACCCAGAGGCCCCAGCATCTCCCCAGGCTGGGCCTGCCTGAGGTTGCATGCATGGTCAGCTTCTGGCAGCTCTGTGTGACTGCTAGCTTTCAGCAGCCTCCCAAGATGCCCCCCCCCCCCGGTATGTCAGGGATTCCCAAGGCTGCTCACTGCTCAGAGGTGTCATGGACATAGTCCCTTGAGTTGTTCTGCTCCTACACCACTGCTCCAGGGCCTCCCTGTGAGTGGCATGCAAACTGTGCACCAGGATTCCTCAGAGTGCAACTGGTGACAGCATTAGCAACATTAATCACAGCAATGATAGTAATATTTATTGAGAACTTACCTTGTACCAAACACTGTTCTGGGCACTTAGACACATTCACTCATCTATTCCTGGTAACCTGATGGAGCCAATAGTAGTATTATCCCCAGACTGGGAGTGGGAGAAACGTTTTGACCAGAGCAAGTAGAATGTGGACTTGCCAGCTTCCAAGATGAGAAGGAGCAAGTGGGGGATGAGGTGAGAAATGAAGGCTGTTAGACATCTCAGGGGAAGGCCAGGTAGGCATGGAGGTCTGAGTGCAGCTTCCAGGAGAGGGCCAGGCCCAGCTGGGCAGATCCATTTAGGAACTGCTGGTGGGGAAGAGCCTTGAACTTGAGAAAGTCACCTGGAGAGAACCAAGAGAGCAGAGTCCTAGGGCAAAGTGCCAACTAGGTTATAGAAGAGGGAGAGATCCTTGCCTGGTGCCAGGACTCAGGCAGGATAAAGGCTGAGTGTTCACTGTTAGATCAAACAAAGTGAAATCACAGTGAAGACCATTCTCAAGCACAGTTTTCTGGAGGGGTTAGAGTATGGGGAGTCTGCCCAGGATCCCACTTGGGCCTCATCTGGCTCCAGAAGCCAGGCGGTTTGATGCTGGTTTTTTCTGAGCAGACCAACTGAGTAGGCATTCATTCTGGAAATACAAATTTCCTGTCTCCAGATTCTAGACTCTCCAGTTGTCCAGGCTGAAGTAACCAGGCCCTGGAGCCTCACATTCCAAAGAGCAGCTGACACAGAATAGGAGTGGTCCCTCCACCAGGCAAACAGCTGCTCCAACCATTTTGCAAACTGCTTTATTTTTAAAGGATGACTTATTTCTTTATATATTTCACCCAGTTGGGAGGCAGTCTTGGGGGCCCTTACCTTGCAGAGTGGCAGGATTCTAGCCTATGTGGGTGCAGGGCTCTGGGGCCCAACCCTGGGCTCAAATCTTGCCACTTCCAGTTGTATGATCAAGGCCAAGTTATATAGACTCTCTGAGCCTCAGTCACTGCATCTGTGCAATGGGATTGACGATAGAACTTGCTTTGTAGAGACTTGGGGGAATTGATGAGTTCATAATGTAAAGTCTTAGAGCCCAGCACAGAGTAGTAATTCTCCCTAAATGTTGGCTGCACTGATTATCTTTGCTGGAGTCTTCCTGGGGAGCAAGAGGGTGGCCCTTTCTCCCCATCTGCAGAAAGGGACAGCATCCAGATGACTAACACACAGCCCCACACTGCCACCCTCCCCACAGTGGTATCCAGAGGTGAACCACTTCTGCAAGGAGGTGCCCATCATTGTTGTGGGCTGCAAGACTGACCTGCGCAAGGACAAGTCACTGCTGAAGAAGCTACGGAAAAATAGGTTGGAGCCTGTGACCTACCACAGGGTAGGAAACCCAGCCCAGGGGTGAGGGTAGGTCCTGAGAGGGGGAGCTTCTGGGTATGCTGATCCCGTCCAGCCTCTGAGCAGCTCAAGGCATCCAGCACACTCAGAGGGGTGGGTCAGGGTAGGGGTAATCTGGGAATGGTTGGGCTTAGAAGTGGCATCTAGAATACTCTCAAAGGTTCTGCCTATGAAAGGCAGAGTAAGTAATGTGCCCATTCAGATAATCCTACCCACCTGCTTCACAGATAGGGACCCTGAGGCCTGGAGAGGAACCCTAGTTCTTTAGTCTACAGGCCCCTCTGTGCTACATGCCTAGGAAGTAGGTTAGTTGGTGCCTTGAGAGGCAGGGACCCATCCTGGAACTGAGGCAGGAAATCCAGTGAAGCCATGAGACTGCTTGGTCAAGCCAGGGGGCAGGAGATGTGGGTGTCCTAGAAAAACTTGCCTTCCAGTTTGGTCCTGGAGACTCCCTAGGACAGCCAAGAGAGCTGTGGGGAGGCAGGATGTGAGGCCACGCAGAGGTCTCCGCCTCAACATAGCCCTGTCCACTCTCTCTGTTAGGGCCAGGAGATGGCGAGGTCTGTGGGTGCAGTGGCCTACCTCGAGTGCTCGGCCCTGCTCCAAGAAAACGTCCACGCGGTCTTCCAGGAGGCAGCCAAGGTAGCCCTCAGTAGCCGCAGTCGCAACTTCTGGAGGAGGCTTACCCAGACCTTTTGTGTGGTGATCTGACATCCTGAGGCCCTCTCTGTCCCAATCACCCCAGCAGCACAGGAAAGAGCTGGGCATTGAGCTGCCCACTTGGCCGGGCTGGACCCAGTCCCCAGACCATGATCACCGTACTACACCTCAAACAGATGGACACTACCAAGGCCGGGTCCCCAACCCTGGGGCTTCGATCCCTGGACTAGACCATAACCCCCCTGAGGCCTGAGGAAGGGGGTTCCAGAGCCTGTCAGCCCTGTGGAGGGCTCATCCTGGAGTTCTTTACAATGACTACCAGACTCCCCGCTCCCAGCCTGGACCACACATCCAGAAGAGCCTGTTCAAGCCTGGCACCACCTCGCTGCTGTCACAGGGCTGCATGTTCAGGAACAGGCAGTCCTAGGACCAGGGCCAGAACACACACCCTGCCCCTCCTCTCTCCCCCCCTGCCCATCCAGTAGTGACCGTAACAACTAAAACATCACTTGTCAGTTATGTCATGCGCTTTGCTTTACACACATGTTCCACAGCAGATGAGAGTCCACCACATGTAGGCACTGGAGTGGGACTACCTGAATCCAAGCCTGGCTTTATCACTTTAGGACCTTGGGCAAATTACTTGAACCCTCTGTGCCTTGGTATCCCCATCTGTGAAATGGGACCAATCATAGATGATATCATGGAGCCTTTAATGAGTAAGAACATCATGAGACACATGCAAACTGCTTAGCACACAGTAAGTGCTCACAAAAGGTTCACAAGTGTTATTTTTATGTATGATAAATATATAATATCGCATAGATGTAATATACTGAATAATATTATATTAGGGTTTTCCAGAGAAACAGAACCATGTAGAGCCAATAGGATGTGTGTAGAGAGAGAGAGAAATTGTAAGGAATTGGCTCACAGGAGCACGGGGGCTGACAAGTCTAAAACCTGTAGGGCAGGCTGGAGATTCAGGTCAGTTGATGTCGCAGTCTTGAATCTGAGTTCTGCAGGGCAGCAGGCTGGATACTCAGGCTTTCTGTGCTGCTGACTTGAGCCAGAATTCCTTTGTCAAGAAACCTGTCATTTCTCTTAAGGTCTTCAACTGATTGGATAAGGCCCACCCACAAAGAACCAGCCCCAAAAACGCACTCCTTCAGTTTCATTAAAAACAGTTCAGGGGCACCTGGGTGGCTCAGTGGCTGAGTGTCTACCTTCAGCTCAGGTCGATCCCAGGGTCCTGGGATCAAGTCCTGCATCGGCTTCCCACAGGGAGCCTGCTTCTCCCTCTGCCTGAGTCTCTGCCTCCCTCTCTATCTCTCATGAATAAATACCTAAAATTGAAAGAAAGAAGAAAGAAAGAAAGAAAGAAAGAAAGAAAGAAAGAAAGAAAGAAAGAAAGAAAGAAAAAGAAAGAAAGGGAAGGAAGGGAAAAAGAAGAAAGAAAGAAAGAAAGAAAGAAAGAAAGAAAGAAAGAAAGAAAAGAAAAGGAAAAAAAAGTAGTTCCAGGGTGACACATGGGTGGCTCAGTCAGTTGAGTGACCAACTCTTGATTTTGGCTCAGGTCATGATCTCAGGCTCATGAGATCAGGGCCCACATTGGGCTCTGGGCTCAATGGAGGAGTCTGCTTCTCTCCCTCATTTTCTCCTCCTCCCCCCCCCATGCACACATGCTCTTTCTCTCTCAAATAAATAAATAAATCTTTGGCTCAGTCAGTTAAGCATTTGCCTTCAGCTCAGGTCATGATCCCAGGGTCCTGGGATCGAGCCCCACATAGGGCTCCCTGCTCAGTGGAGGAGTCTGCTTCTCCCTCTCTGCCCCTGCCCCCAACTCATGCTTGTGCTCTCTTGCTCTCTCTCTCTCAAATAAATAAAGTCTTAAAAAAGTAAGAGGGTACCTGGGTGGCTAAGTTGGTTGAGCATCTGACTCTTGATTACAGCTCAGGTCATGATCTCAGGGTTGTGGTATCCAGCCCCATGTCAGGGAAGTGGAAAGTCTGCTTGGGATTCTCTCCCTCTCCATCTGCCCCTCCCTATACTCATGCTCTCTCTTTATCTCTCTCAAATAAATAAAATCTTAAAAACATAAAAAAAAAAAAGCTCAAAGGAGGGACGCTTGGGTGGCTCAGCCAGTTAAATCCAACTCTTGGTTTCGGCTCCAGCCATGGTCTCAGGGTGGTGGGATTGAGCCCTGCACTGGGCTCCATGTTCAGCATGGAATCTGCTGGAAATTCTCTCCCTCTCCTCCTCCTCTGCTCCTCCCCCACCCCCACTCACTGGTACATGCACTCACACTCTCTCTCCCTCTCTTAAAGTTAAAACAGCTCAAGGGAGGGACTACTTCATAGGCCACATGGCTGGCTCAATTGGTAGAGCATGGGACTTTTGATCTCAGGGTTGTGAGTTCAAGCACCATGTTGAGTGTAGAGATTTCTTAAAAATAAGCCTTTAAAAATTTTTTAAAGAAAAGAAGACAGGGATCCCTGGGTGGCGCAGCGGTTTGGTGCCTGCCTTTGGCTCAGGGCACGATCCTGGAGACCCGGGATCGAATCCCGTATCGGGCTCCCGGTGCATGGAGCCTGCTTCTCCCTCTGCCTGTGTCTCTGCCTCTCTCTCTGTGTGTGTGACTATCATAAATAAATAAATTAAAAAAAAAAAAAGAAAAGAAAAGAAGACAAAGATAAACAGCACAAGGAAGAGACTCCTTGTGCCAGGTGAGGGCTCATGCCTTGGGTTACAGAGCTGAACTGAGACAGGTGAAATGATGTTATTGGCCTGCTCCAGAAACCCCGTGTGGGTTACAGGCTCCACTCCAGCGTTTTACTATAAACTGCTCAGGAATGGGAAATAACTTTTCCTGGCCTAGATTTCTAGCCTGATTGCTCCTCCCTGTCAAGCATACACCGTGCCCAGTATGTTCCCTATTCTCCCCTTTCTGCCCTCCCCAAGCCCAGCTCAGACAGCTCTCTAATTTCCCAAAATATATATTCCTTGATCCCTGAGAGTAATGTTGCTATGATGCTTTTCACAGTGACTCCTTGCACATCCTTCTTCTTGCACTAGATCTCAACTTCCGTGAACTCAGGATCCTTGTTTGCTTCATCTCTTTGTCCCTGGCCCCTAATTGAGGATGTGGCTTGGCCTTGTTGGCACTGAGTATTGCATCTCTGGAGTCAGTAGCAGATCTGGGTTCAGATGTCAGTGCTGCCATTTTCCTTAGCTATGTGATTTTTTTAAGAGTTACAGTCTTTGAACTTCAATATCCCATCTGGCAAATGGGGACAATCATATCCATCCTACAGGGCTGCTGTGGGAAGGAAGTGACAAAATACTTGTCAGGTGCCTAGTATAGTGCCAGCCAGAAAGAAGGATGCAGGAACCATGGGACAGATTTGCAAGAAGAATAGCTGGGCTGGACAGAATGTCCTATACTTGAGGGTGAGATGCTGAACAAGAGATCAGGAGACACAGGTGCTGGCATGGGCTCCTTCCCTGAGATAACCAGGGACTGAGTCATCTATTCCTTTAGCCTGGTGTCTCAGGAGCTCTCTGGTGTGCCGCACACTATGACGAGGGCTAGGGATATTACACAGGGAACCATGGTCTGTGCCCCCCCAAAGCCAGGTGTGTTTGCAATACCCTGGAAGAAGCACAGAGGAGGGGTCCCAACCACTTGTCACCATGTGGCATGGTCCTGTGTATCTCCCCACTGGATCACCAGCTCCCCAAGAGCACAGACTGGGTTTGCTGGAATCCCCTGTGCTTCAGGGTATCTGGAGAGAAAAGGATCATGGGTGAGTATGGGGGATGATATGCCCCATCATGGTGACCTGAGAGCCCAAGATGCTGTGTCAAGTCTTGCAAGGCAGGCAGGACAAAGGGATGTGGGGCCAAGGGGGCTGACAGAATGAACAAGAGGGTAGGAGGAGTGATGTGCTTGGTCCTGAGAGGGTCTCTGTCTTCTCACCTGACAAATGGGAGGAATAAGTTCCAGTCCTTGCCTTTTATTTCTTATGAGTGTTCTATCGGGAATGAGAAGATTAGATACACAGGTTTAATGATTAAATTTGTGTGTCAACTTGATTAGGTCATGTTTCCCAGTGGTTTGGCCAAACACTAGCCTAGATGCTGCCTCAAAGGCATTTTGTAAATGTAATTGACATTTGAATCAGCAGGCTTTGAGTGGAGCAAGTGACCCTGTGTCATGTGGGTGGGCCTCATCCAATCAGTGGAAGGCCTTAAAGGACAGGATTCCTGGTCACGGGGCCAGAAGGAGGACTGAAGTTTGACTCAACCCTCCCTGAATCTCACCCAGGATGCATGCAAGGAGGTCAAAGTCACAGAAGAACTGCTCTCTGAGCTGAGGGGAAGCAAGATGGGGGTTAGGAAGATGGAAGATACCGTGGTGTGCAGGGAAGGGGCTTCTGGGGCCACTGAATAGGGGGGAAGTGGGCACTTGCCCATCCTCATGGTGCCCCGCAGGGGAGCAGCTGAGGCAGGAATACACATGTGCTTTCTCTCTGCCCCACGCTGCCTGTGGCTGCCCTCTTTTACTTTCTTCAAGAGCTTGTCACCGTGTGGCACCATCCTGTGGGTCTCCCCACTGGACTGCCAGCTCCCCAAAGCACAGACCAGGTTTGTTGAAATCCCCTGTAACTCAGACAGTGCCCAGCATATAGAAAGCACTAGAGAGATACACATTGCATGAATTGAGGTTCACACCAGGTCCTGCCTGGGTTACCACGTCAACTCCCCGCCTTCCTCCTCCTCATCCCCGCAGGCACAGCCGTACTCCAAAGCACTGATCCAGTCTCATTACATCACCTTGAGCCTCCTGCCGCCTCTCAACCCAGGGAAGGTCGTCCAGCTTCCCCAGCTGGGGACTTGGGCTCTCCTGTACCTGGCAGCCATCCTGCCCTGCCCTGTCTCACACCCGGACCCCTGATGCCCAGCCACACCAGGGAGTACCATGGACCAGTCCTAGCCTCCAATCCTTTGCTCACGCTCTTGGCCCACCTCGTCATGCCCTTCCTCCCCATCACTGCCAGTTCAAATCCTCCTCCATCCCTAGATCCTTCAGAGTCCAGCTTGGACGCCACATTCATTCATTGCCCAGGAAGTCTGTGGACCCCATCAAGCAAGCACCCTATAGGGTCCGTTGTCTTTGCACAGCCCCATGGCCAAGGAACTGGGCTTTGCTTCCCTGCTGTGCAAACAGCTGGATTGGGCTCCTGGTGGTGGGCCAGGCAGGATGGATGGCCGGAAGAGCAGGGGTGGGAGTCGGAGACCAGTTCGGCTGCTGCAGGCATCCAGACACGACAGAGAAACAAGCCCGCACAGGTCAAGGCTGGGTGACTTCTGGCCGCGAAGCCCAGGTGGTGGCATGGTGGACAGAGGGAGGGAAGGGTGGGGATGCTGAAGGTGAGGGAAGAATGCAGGCCCCACCCCTGCGTGAGAAACTTGGAGAAGGCGAGCCCCTTGCCCGGGAGTGGTGACCCTGGGAGAAGGCACGGCCATCCCAGGTGTCGCAGGAGGACACAGTGAGTGGCAGCCCTTGCAGATGCCTGGCTGAAGACAGGGTTGTTATTATGGGCTGTTCTCCTCCTCCTCAGCTGCCAAGGCCCCCTCTTTCAATTCCCTACACCCTCTCCGGGCAGGGCGGGGGCCAGACTAGTGGGAGCCAGGGGAAGACGCAGCCCAGAGGCCAGCAGGAGCCAGAAACCACAGACCACAGTGTCTTCATTTCTCCATACCGCCTTCATCAGCCTTGGGGTTGTCTGCTGGGAAGGCAAGGGGGGGTGGGGACCCCGAGTCACCTCCTCCAGAACAGGCCACTCCCTGGCATCCTTGGGCGGGAGGGTGTGGCACACTCGGTGAGTCACGAAGCTTCCCTCTCTCGCTCCGCCTGTGTGGTGCCCTGAGCCCCACGTCTGGGTGCCTGGGTGCTGGGGCAGGGGGGGGGGAGGGGAGGAGGGGGAGGAGCGTGGCCAGATCACCCAACTCTGGGCCACTCTCTTGGTTTTCTCTGGCCTCCTTCGGCTCCTGGGGGCCTTTCCTTTGGAGGATGAGAATTCACGGCCCCCAGGAAGTCATCTCCAAGCCACTGGAGAGGGAAGCAACGAAGCCTGAGAGCAGAGGGGTAGCGAGACCCACAAGGAGTGGGACAGCTGACTGGCCACCCCACGTTCTAGGGCTTGATCTCCAACAAAATGCTTCCCTTAGCAGATTGGATTTGGCCATCCTCCAAAGGGAGGCAGGAGGATGGGCTGGAATTTCCTGGGGGGCTCAGCAGTGGAGACACCAAGCCTGGTCCAGTGCCGATCACAGGGCAGACACTCAATGTGTTTGATTAGGAAATACATATTGGCTGTCTACCCTGTGGGGTCCCTGTTCTAGATACTGAACACCAAGCGGGGCCTGGGGGTGGGAATGAGCAGAATTTGGTCCTTGCCTTCCAAGTCACCATACTCCATCCTCCTTGGGAGTTCCAGTGTGGACACAACCAGTGGGGGAGGGAACATCTGACATTCACTTGCAGCCTGCTTGTGCCATTGAGATAAACAGGAGGGGAGCTGGGGTTGGGGTGGGGATGTTGTTGAATGAAAGACACACACAAAGAGTTCTCCCTTCCCACCCACAAATCTGAAACAGTTGTTCTAGGATGCGTGCTCCTATCTGCCCACCAGAAAAGCATCACAGAGTGCTGTCTGGCCAGG